CTGATCTTGTTTGTGTTTTATGAAGAACTTCTTAAACTGTGATGTTGAAGTTTTAATTCTGTTTAGCTCCATTTGAACATGGTATCGTCGTACTGTAGGCATATAAATTTTATAAAAATTAAATTCATGAAATAATTTGGACTATATTTTAAATTCAAGATATATTCGTCCAATAAATATTACGGGCTAATATAATTGAATTAATTATATAAGTCCAATATATATGGATTAAATAAATAAATCTTAATCCATTTGGCTAGTCCATTTGATTGGGCTAAAGTGATGAGCCCACTTCATTAAGCCCAAGATGTCATCTTCCTAGAGGCCCAGTTTGGTGCTACGTGTCAAATGACGTGGCGTGCCAAGTCAAGCGAAAGAGCCAATTGGACCATGCCACATGTCAAAATGACAAGGCACGCCCAGTCACACTGAAAGGCCAATGAAATCGCGCCACGTGTGCAGGTGACATGTTATGGCCAATCAAATGAGGCCATGTCACACTTCAATTTGATTGGTCGGAAAGAGTTTGTTCTTATCATGACTCCACCCTTCCACGACTATAAATAGGGGTCTTCATAACTCAGAATAGACACCAGAAGCTATAACAAGAAGCAAGAAAGAGCTCGTGGATCAAACGCTGCAAATTCCTCCACAAGTTTCAAGCTTCAAGCAATCAAGTTCAAGTTCAAGCTCAAGAACGAAGAACAAATCAATTTCAAGCTCAAGAACGAAGACCAAATCAAGTTCAAGTCCAAGCAATCAAGCTCAAGCTCAAGAACAAGATCATCGTTCGTGGCAACAACTACATATTCAAGATCAAGCTCAAAGGCCCTTGGATTTATTCACTATCGAAGAGTAGAATCAGCGGAATCATAGAGATTGTACACTCATATTATTTGAAATCAAATACTACGATTGTTGCAATATTTTCGGTCTTGATTTTATTTTCTCGACCCAAATTTATTGTCTACAAATTCTGGCACGCCCAGTGGGACAGTCTCTACCTCTCATCTCAACTTTTTCAATCACCAAAGTTCAAGAATATCGAAATGGCTTCAAAGAAAATCAACTCTAGTTCAACTTCCATCAAGGCTGCTATTTCCAGGTTCTATGCTTATGTGGAAAACATACTCGAAGTTACCTTTGGAAGCTTTGGACCAGTTACGAGGAGCAAAGCAAGCTTGTTAGGACAACAAGCACCCCAAGTGTCGTCCGCATCTCCCCATTTACACCACATAGCATGAGCTAATCAAGGATCAATCTGTGTGACAATCCATGCTACTCTCCATCGTCCACAACAATCATGCAAGCTACGGTGACAAACACTTTATCTGTGGAGGAGCAGTTGGCAAACTTGACGGAAGCAATCGCTAGCTTGACCAAATGCATGCAAAATCAAGATGCTAGAATTGACAAGCTAACAGACAGGGTGGGAATCTTGACGGAAGAAGAATCCACCCATGCACCTGGCAAACTCCTAAAAGTTTAAGAGATTGATCCTCCCCCACGACAAGTTGCATCCACTAAGGAAATTCTAGTCTATTCGGAAGGGATGATTCCAATCAATCAACTAAAGGAGTTCACTGAAGGGACTATAAAAAACAAATATGAAGTCGCTTCCAAGTCCTTCTTTACCTACTCAAAGCCGTACACTTCAAGGATCGATATGTTGAAGATGCCTGCTGGCTATCAACCTCCAAATTTTCAACAGTTTGATGGCAAAGGCAATCCAAAGCAATATGTGGCTCACTTCGTTGAGACATGCAACAATGCTGGGACTTATGGAGATTACCTCGTCAAGCAGTTTGTCCGCTTATTAAAAGGAAATGCTTTTGATTGGTACACGAACCTCGAGGCTGGAACTGTTGATAGCTGGGATCAACTAGAGCAAGAATTCCTCAATCGCTTTTATAGCACGAGACGTACTGTGAGTACGATAGAACTTACAAATACTCGTCAACGAAAGGGTGAACCAGTTATCGACTTTATCAAGCGTTGGAGGAATGCAAGCCTCAAGTTCAAGGACAGGCTTGTTGAAGCTTCAGACATAGAGATGTGCATCCAAGGCATGCATTGGGGACTACGCTACATCTTGCAGGGTATCAAGCCTGGCACATTTGAAGAACTTGCGACTCGTGCCCATGACATGGAGTTGAGCATGGCCTCTGTTGGAAATGAAAGGTTGCCTATCTATGAGCCTCGAAAATGGAACGACAAGCAAGAAGTTAGGAGGTGGGGCAAGTTCGTACCCAAGTCTGAAAGCAAAGAAGCTATGAATGTCAACACGTCACTTGTGAAGTTCACGACGAAGGTGAGCAAGAAGCAGGGTATGAAATCCACTTCTTTTCAAGATAAGCCAAGTGGAAAGTTGACTCTAAGAGAAATGCAAGAGAAAGAGTACCCATTTCTGGATTCTGATGTGCTAGCCATTTTCGAAGAACTCCTCGAGCTAAATCTCATTGAGCTTCCGGAGATGAAGCGACCAAATGAAGCTAGGAAAACGAATGACCAAAATTACTGCAAATATTACCGACTTGTAAGCCACCCTCTGGAGAAGTGCTTTGTCTTCAAGGACGAAGTTATGGACTTGGCCCGTGAAAAGAAGATAGTGCTTGAAGATGAGAAGGCAGGTGCGAACCAAGTCTCTATCACCTTTGGCGCATTCAGTCTAGTTGAGTTATGCAGTTTAAAACAAATCAAAGAAGAAGAATTACTGGAGAATAACAAAGTCGAATTAGACCACCATGATGATGATGAAGGTTGGACATTGGTGACTCGCCGTAGGCGCCACAAAAGGAGCCCACGAAAAGAATCAATAGAGCAACCAACAAGGAAAATGATGGTAAAAATACCAAGGAGATGGAATCCAGTTAAGTATTTGAAGAAAGCAAAAGTGGAGGTGCACCATCCTCAAAAATCGCGATATCCAGTGACCTTGGAGGAGTTCTTACCAAGTTGGTTCTGCACGAAGATTTCTCATGAGGGCATTGATGCCTCCTGTTGCCATGCTGACAAGGGGGAAGAAAAGATTAATGACCTACCATTGGCACCATCTTCGGAAAAGCTCATCGAGTCATCTCCTCAAGATGTTAATGCTTGTGAAAAAAAAGTCATGTTCACAAATGACGATCTTCTGCTAGGTGACACTCTTCATAACCGCCCATTGTACCTGGTTGGCTATATGAGTGGTGAAAGGGTAAATCGAATTTTGGTTGATGGGATATCCTCAGTGAACATTTTGCCAATTTGCACTGTGAAAGAACTTGGTATTCCCATAAATGAACTCTCAGAAAGTCGTGTGATGATCCAAGGATTCAACCAAGGGGGGCAAAGAGCCATAGGTGCGATCAGGATGGAAATCACTATTAAAGATATGCAATCAAGTGCATGGCTACATGTGATCGATGTAAAGACTTCATACAACGTCTTGCTTGGAAGGCCTCGGATACATGAGAACAAAGTGGTTCCATCTACCTACTCAATGTTTGAAATACTACGAGGGTGAAGTCGAGAAGAAGATAGTTGTTGATGATGAGCCATTCACCGAGGCTGAGTCACACTTCGGCGATGCAAAGTTTTACTTGAAGAACCGCATTGTGAAAGAGCTAAAAGCTGATGATGTCATAAAAAGCAAAAATGATGAGCCCACAACTAAAAAAGCTGAAGTGACTGCCGGTAGAGTCAAAGATGTTACCGAGGAGGTACAAC